TGATGCTTTTAAAAACGACTTGTATTCTCAGGAATTCTAGTAGCAGGTAATAAGCTCAACTATAAGATCAAGTGGTGCGACTTTAAGAAGTTTTACTTTTCGTATTTTTGTGTAATTGATGAACAAGTTCAATATGTAAACTATGTAAGTGTGTATCTCCAGTGTATGATGTTTGGTTGATCTGTTTCATTCATATTCAATTGTTATGATACTGTACATGAATTCATTTGCTCTGGATGTTTCCGCCGCCCGGTTCGGAGGTGTGACAAGGATCCCATGGCACTTAGGTGTAAGACCATGTGAGGGAGCCCATGACATCCTGGAGTAAGACCTTGGGAGGGGCCAATACATGCTTATATGTTTATATGCATTGTTTATGTGATATGTGGTATACTAGCTGTTTATGTGATGTGTGATATGCTAGTTGTCTTTGTGACTTACATGAAAGACCATGGGGGTGCAACGCCCGCAGATTCGAGCTAGTCAATTAAGAGACAATAATCGTCAAAAATGATTTTTTGATGGAAGATTATTTTGATTGAATAATCTTTACCAAGTGATAGTATATGTCACAAGGGTTTCGTACTTATAAAGAACGCTGCAATCTGAATTATAATGAAGAAGTTATGACTCGTCGAAGTTTTACGGCAAAACCCGCACGACATCGTGTAACATAAAAAGTGAATTTTTGATAAACTACTTTTTAGCCTTAGAGATCTGAATGAAAGTTGTAGTATACGTTAAACCGAGAGCGTGTATAAAAAGAACGCCCAAATCTGACATCTTATGAGGAAGTTATGATTTTTCTAAGATTTCGCATAATAGTACACATCCCGAAATTCGAATTTTAGATTGATCCATTTTTGGCCAATGCAACCTAAATGAGAATTTAATATCTCATTAATAGGAGCTCAACGATAAAAAGACAGACGAAAACGAAGTTCGTATCTTGAAGTTATGAATTTTACACGGTCATTTAACAGTGTAATATTCTCATACTGTTAAATTTAAAATAGGTCGAGAATTAGTCGATGGAGTCAAAAGGAAAGTTGTAGATCTTGTCATTACCTATGCGTGGATATATAGTACGTCAATGACAAAGTTCATATGTGAAAGTTATGAATTTTTAAAGATTGGCTATTTTACCTGCATCTTGTGCCATGTCTCAGCACCAGGCTTTGCCTTTGTGCCTATGCAAGGCTAATGAAGTGAGCACCCTTTCTTACGACGTGAGAGGTTCCAAACATCCTATAAATAGAGGCATAAATCACCACCAAAACCATTCTTTTTCTCCTATTACCCCCGAAACCCCTCTTTCTTTCCCTAGCAACTTCTAAGTCTTAGAGGTGAGTCCCAGAGCGCCGGAAGGCTCTGAGAAGAAGAGCTTTCGGCTCAAAAGTTCCACCCCCGCAGAGCCCGGCTCCTAACCAAACCCCTTAGTAAGTGAGTTATTCTTACCCTACTTTAAGTATAACTTATGTTTAAGTCCATTATCGTTATTTTGAACCTATAAACAAGATTTATCAGTGATTCCAAGTCATTATACTGATTGATCTACTTACGGGGATGATGTCTAGGCTGTGATTTAGTGAGGTGTTTAAAGTGGGATTTCCAAACAGTATACTTCGTATACCAAACGGACCCTACCTCCGATATGATCCTACCTAGTTGTTCTTTACTTGATAGATCATGAAGTAGACTTTGAGTTAATGATGAATCTAGATTAATAATTAGTCGCAATAAAGATTAGACTAAAATCTAGTGGTAATAATACTAGGTTTCGTCGAAGGAAATCATATTATTAAGAAGCGAAGCGCTGCTCGAATTTCGAGACGTCACTTTCACAAGTGAGTGCATAGTTACTTTCATCTTACACATAGATATAAAGTATTTTATATAAATTACGTGTTGTGTGCATATAAACTGTATAATTGCTATCTATGTTGGATGAACAATTTTATACATGTTTTAAATAATTTAAACTGTATATGTATTTTATATCTATGAATATGTTGGGTAAAACATTGGTAGATGAATGATGAGAGATGAAAGATGATATGAGTGAATATTGGCAGCTATAGACTTAGTGCCTAATAAATAACATCGGCAACTATGGACTTAGTGCCTTTTGGATAAACGTTGGTAGCTATGGACTCATTACCTGTTAGATAAACCTTGGTAGCTATGGACTTAGTACCTATTAGATAAACACTGGTAACTATGGATTTAGTACCCGATGAATGAACTTTAGTAGCTATGGAATCAGTGCTTTACGAACGAGCATTGACAGCTATTGACTTAGTGCCTATCATATAAACCCTGGAAGCAATGGACTTCGGAATAAACAAATGTAGGATAGATGATTCTTAGGGTAGACCCTTAAGAGTAAAGAAGATAATGAGGATGAGTAATTGGGTTGATTGTTTGATATTTAAACATAATAATTATATTATTGTGGGTTGAAAACCCTATGTGCTCACCAGGTTTTCCAACCTGACCCACTCAAGTTTATTTGTATCACAAGTGTCGATATGAAGCTATTTTACACCGAGAGATTAAGAAGATGTAGATCACTAACGTAAATGAATGTAAGGTCTGTTTATGCTTATGTTTCTGTGTTGACGATGATATCTCAAATGTTTTAAAATGAAATAAAATACATTTATTTGAAAATGCTTTGATAAAGTATTTATCATGTTTTCTGGGAATAAATTCCGCAACATTTTTAATAAAAGGAGTACTCTGATTTTTATAAAGCATAAACAAAATCGGTCATTTATAGCTGTGGAAATGGAGATGTCACAGGGGGAGCCCATGGCACTTGGATGTCAAACCATGTGGGGGAGCCTATGGCTTTACAAGTAAACACCATGGGGGTGCCCATGACACTTAGGTATAAGACCATGTGGAGGATCCCATGACATCCTGGAATAAGATCCTGGGAGGAGTCCCCGGCATCCTTATATTCTTATGTGATTGATATTCCTTTTATGATTGATATGGCCTATGTAATTGATATGGTTTATGCGATTATGTGGATTATGTGGGGTATGCTCTTTGGAACTCACTAAGCTTCGTGCTTACAATTTTGTTTATGGTTTTAGGTATCATTGGTTTTGAAAGGAAGGGTTAGGCTTGATCGCAGTGCAAACCCGTGTTTTCTGCAATATGTGATTTTGGGACGAACTTTGATAAATATTTTAATTAACAATGTTTTTGGAATGTTTGGATTTAAAAGATATCTGTGTTTTGACTATAATAAAAATAAAATTTTCTCTTGATTTTTAGGTCGTTACACTATGTTTCGATTATGTGTTTTATTTATGTTTTTAATTTTTTTTTGTGTGTGTATATATATATAAAGAGAAATCTACTATAAAGTCCCTATATTTTGACCTCATATACATTTAAGTCTTTCTATTATTATTTTTTCTTATTATGTCCCAAATACCGAGAATTTTATTCACTTTGACCATTTTTATCCAGTCAACAGTTCATCTATTTTTAAAATTTATACTTTTGGCCTAGATTTTAAAAATGATTATAGATTTGGTCCAAAATTTAAACTTTTAACCCATACTTCAAAATTTTCTTACAAATTTGGCTTTTAAGTTGAAAAAAAAATTATACAAAAAATAAAAAATACTCACATAAAGAACCTTCTTTTTTCCATATAAAAACTTTTTTTAAACATTTTTTTAAAAGCATTTTTTGTTAAAAAATGGTTTTTATATGTGGAAAATATGTTAAAATATAAAAAAAAAAAAAAAAAAACATAAGAAAGAACAATGGTCACATATTGTTTTATTAACAAACTTATATTTGTTATTATTTTCGCCAAAACTTATAAAATTTATAACCTCATCATACGAACTTCATTTTCAACTTTCTTTATATCTACGTATTCGTCTTGACGACTACTACAATTTTCATGCCGATCGCTTTAGTAAAAAACAATATATATTCACTTGCATTTTTATAAACAAAGGTTTATATTGATCAACTTTGAAGTGGTTATTATTACTAGATTTTGCTTAAAAACTAAAAAACATATTTTTGAATAAAAAAGCAAGACATTACTAAAATAAAAAAAACATATTTTCACAAAAAAAAAAAACCAAAATATTAAAAAAAAAAATTTGCCATCTTATTGATTTTCAAATTATATAGATGCACAAACAAAAAAATGATTTTTATGTAAAAAAATATTTGTTTTTTATTAAATTTTTTTATGTGAAAATATATTTTTTGTATAGAAAACATATTTTCACATAAAAAACATTATCTACAAAAAAACCTTTTGACCAAATTTATACAAAAAAAAAAACATAGTTTTCACATATATTTTTTTTTAAACAAAATTGTGTTGTAAAAAAAGTTTTTATATAGAAAAAAAGGGTTATATGTGAAAATGTGTTTTTTTGTATAATTTTATAAAGCAAAAATAATATATTTGAAAAAATAGTTTGAAAAAAACTATGTAAAAAAACTAAATTTAGGATGAATTTGTAACAAAATTTTAAAATCCGAGCCAAATATGTAAATGTTGGACCAAGTTTATGATAAAATTTAAAATCCAAGCCAAGTGTAAATTTTAAAAATGAGATACTTGATAGCCGGAAAAAAAAATGATGGAAATGAATACAATTCATGGTATTTGAGATTTAATAGAAAAAAGATAATAATTTAAGAATTTAGTTGAATATGAGTTCAAAATGTTTGGATTTTTTAGTAGATTTCCTTACATATAATTAATGAATGATTTTCCTTTTATTAATTTGTATCATTATATTTTATTAAATTATATTTTATTTCAATTAAAAAGAAAAACTAAAAATATGTTATGATACCCACCACTTTTGTGGGTGAAAGGAAAATAACATGACCCCGATGTAAGATGACAATGTATGGTAAAATGTGTTATGACATTTAATAGAAAACATAAAACCCCAAATCAATCTAACCAAAAGAAGCAAATACCATGGTTGTGCCTGTATATATTGATGTTCATTTGTTATCACGAATTTTTTTATGCCTCCTTGAATTAGCAAATGTTTAAATAATTATGCTACCGTAGAAAATACAAATATATTAGTAAAAGTGTTATTAAAAATAAAAATAAAAAAATTAACATAAAACATAAAAAGATTGCATATTATGGTGAGTTGGTGGGTTTGGGAGAAGAATTGTTATGAATTGGGCGTCGTCTTCTTACGTGAGAATAATCCATGGTAGTGAAACCGGTCGGGTCAAATCCATTTGCTCCATTTTCTGTAGTTTCTTCTTTCCTCTTTTGTGATCCATCTATATGCAAAAGAATATACATATGTGATGATAGGATTTTAAATTAGGTCACAAAATGATTATTTAATTTTATTTATTTTAAAAATAAAAATATATGAATTTAATAATATTTAATCACTATAACTTAATAAGCTTAACTAATGAAATGATAAAGGGATAGCGGTTATATGCATCTTATATTCTTTTTTTGAATGCGACCCACAATTTCAAAACCACTCCTTAAACTACTCTGGAACTCTATTTATAACCCTTAACCTAATAGAGAGAAGACATCTATCATGCCTCTAGGCCAAAATTTTGTTAGTTTATATTCCCTTTTTATAAGATTTGTATTAGTTAACTGTATATTTGTATTTTATTCAATCTATAGGTAAACTTGTTTTTAACAAGTTTACAAGATTACAACAATTGTTCATTGATACTTTAACTTTAATTTGAAATATGCATAAACTAAAAGGTTGAGATAAAAAAAAAAAAAATTGCCACATTTGGAAATGACCTTCTAATATATAAAATAGTTATTTTCATCAATTTCCAAATAGAATCACTTGAAATCACTATTGTTGTGAAATTTGTTTTTTTTTTCCATAAGAAAATATATTATACAACTAAAAAAATCATAATTTTTTTTCTCATATAATGCGAAATGTCTTTAATGTATATGAAATTGTTCTTATTAATGCGAAAAATCATTTTTTTAATTTATGTTTGGCACTTTTATTGGGGGATTTTCAATTATCATTTTCGTAGCTAGGAGGTACGTATTACGTGAAAATGTAACGTCTCGTTGGAAGAGATTTTTCAAAAGAAAAACGTACAAAATAACTATGAATGTAGTCTTTAAAAGATTGAGCTTTGCTATACAAAAGGTGTAGTGGCGCAGCTTGTTGCCCGTTTGCCATCTCACTTGTTTTACGATGATAATTAAATTTATTTAATGGAAATCAAACTAGGACTATGTTTACTTAAAAAAAAAAAAGTGAAAAAAAAAATATATGATAAGCGTGAGTAGAATCCTTGCTATTTTTTGAAAATTCACATTTTAAGCTATTTTTTTAACAGCTGAAAGATTTATAAAGAAACACTAACAAAGCACTAATAGCTAACATAGGATTTCGAGGATACCCTACCTAATTCATCGGTTAGGATAAGGGTGTGCTAGTATATATTCTCTTTAAAGCTATAGTTGTCATTTTTCTGTAAAAGGGTTTTTGATGAAAGAAAATGCAATTATCGTAGCAGATAATACATGAACATTAAGCTACTTAATTAAATGCATAAATAACTAATTTATGTTTTATTATAAAACAAATCTTAATTACGAAGCGTTTGGTTTCTAATTTCTTTTTTGCAAGAATATATAGGAAATAAAATGGATTTGAACAATACATATTAGATAATTTTTATATATTTATTTAACTTACAATTATATTTGTTTATTGTAAAGACTGGTTTATAACCCGTGGAAGCCACGGTTACAAAAGTAATTGAACTTTTATAATAAAAACTCAAAATTATTAATAAATTATTTTAAATAAATTATTAATTAAGAGATTTTTTTAGTTAAATTATAATCATTGATTTAAATAAATATGTGAAATTATATCATTTTATAATTTATATTAATTTTATTTTAATTTTTATTCTAAGGTTGATAATTTAATGTAATTAGAGTGATAAATTTGAATTTTCAAATTTGAAATGAAGAATCAATAGGTTGATAAATGACATGCATTAATTAGATGACATAATAAGGTGACACATGACAAAAAGAGAATAACATATGCATTAATTAAGAAACCTAATAGAATGATATATATACAAATGAAAATAAAACTATTTTTTTATTAGAATAAGGATATGTAACTGAATTTTTTAGCTTTATTTATATTCAAATATGCATGTGTGATGCGGCATGTGTACATTTTTAATTAAAGTTGAAATTTGATGAACAAATTACCTAATGGAGCTTCCTTTTGGTCATTGTCAAACAGCAAATCTTGATCTCCATTCCCTTCAACCTGATCGAAACACAACCATAATTTGAAAACTTAAACCCCAAATCGATTTCATTTGAATCTTGGTTTGTCTAAATCAAAGGGCCAAATTGCATATAAATTAAGTTACCATTTCTTGGATCGTCAACTTTCTTGAAATCACAGGAGAAAGAACATGTTGGTCATAACCTGCAAAAAATATATATAACCACATCGATCATCATCACCATGCATGAAACATGAGAGTTGGGAGTGGGGATGATGGTAGGGGGTAGTGGGTGTATGGGGGTGGGGTCAACATATTACATATATGATATACCTAACTCATGGAAAGGTTGCATCTGATGATTATGGACAAAAGCAGCATCAACTGTCATCAAAACTGAAACCCTAATCCACAACATCATTGTCATCATGGCAATCGTCATGTGCAAGCTTAGCAGATCATGCGTAGTACCATGTAGAGGTTCTTGTTGTGTGGATTATAGTGGCAAACAAGTGACGTACACAAGATTCTCAATAAGCGTGTGTAATATTTGTGTGTATTTCGGAGAGAGGACACACAAATTAAGCACAAAGTGGTGACCTTAAAAAAGAAAAGCACTAGTGTATATAAGAGGTGTAAACTGTTGGGTTCTTATAATACACGCATTGGATAAGAGCTCAAAATGAAAAAATAAAAAAATTACATGGGTTGAGAACTTGAGATCGTTACTCTATTTGTATTCCATATCGATACGACATAAGTCTTTTTTTTTTTTTCTTTGTAAAGACTCTTTTGGAAAGTGAATATAACACTTTATAAACTATAATTAAATAAATTATATGTTGAGTTTAATGACAAAATTTTTATTGTTACGGTAAAAGAGTGTTTGAGATTTTTTTTTTAAGTTAAAAATGACTTTTATCCTAAATGATTTTTGACTTATGAAGATAAGATAATTTAATTTTCCTTTTTAAAAATATATGGATTACTTTTTTTAGATGCAAAAATCAATAAGTTAATAAGTTAAAAAGTGTTTTGTTTAATTTTAGCTTTTATCTACTTTGTAAACCTAATAAGCGATAAGCTCTTTCAAAAACTTAGAAATTGTGCTTACTGAAATCTTCTTTTCAAATGTTGTTTTCAAAAAAATTGGTTTTGTCATCCAGAAAGGACTAGCGGTGCAACTTTTTGCCCGATTGCTTTCAATCGATATGTATTGAACTGACAATTAGTTAATTTAAAATATATATATATATATATATATATATATATATATATATATATATATATATATTAAACAATTTTTTTAATGTTTTTTCTATATCTAAATATTTTGTTTATCTTATTGACTTTTCAAGAAGTCAATAAATTAAAAAATTATTTTTAAATGAACAAGTCAACCACCCTTTAAGAATCTGCTTTTTTCAACGTATCATATTAAAAGGTTAACATTAGAAACACATTTTAATGTGACTTTCATCAATTTCACTCGTTTTCTTTGTAACATATTTCTCTACCCATTTGGTACTTGTATACAAAACGTTTTGCAGAAACTTTGTGAATTAATTGGGTTGAAGATTAGAGAAATAAAAAATGTTAGGAGGCTTTAACTATAAGTACACCATTTTGGTTAGTGTGAGACCATATATGTTGGGGACCAATAGAGTTCTTATCAAATTTAAACAAACATCTCTATCACAACACCAAATTGCTGAAATATTGTTAGAAGTGTTATAAAAGCTCATCTCATCCTTTACATAACTAATTCCCCAAACATTAACCTAGTTAATATGGAGGAAACTTAAAGTTTAGTATTAATGATGTGGCAAAGGTTTTGGGGCCCCTCTCCTATGTGATTTTCTCTAATCACCTAACAATCTAATAGAATCTTATTGGGATTCTAAATTTCTAATCGTTTTTAGGGTCTCGTTTAATGTTATGATCAAATATCAGAACAAAATCGGCAACACTTTTGTCAGAGATTATAGCATGGTCCCCTATATCGATGAATTTGTAAAATAGTTCAAGTTTTGGGTTCTTTGCACAAATGGCATACATGTGTATATATGCAATGAAAATCTTTTGTAGAATATGAACAAAAATGTGTTAATCACTATTCACTAGGCATCTTTCACATCCATCCACCATATACAAGCTTTGTCTGGTCTATTTTAGAGATGAAGACAGAAAGGTAGTTGTGATGTACCTCTTGCCTCTTCTTCTATTTTCGTCTTTTAGATATAATTAATCATATTTCAATAAATCAGGCAACATTTATATATATTTAACCAAAAGTTTTGTAAATTCTTTTTAATAATCATTCATAAGTCATTTATGGAAAGAAGCACCTAATGTTTTTTTTTTTTTGAACAGCTTAAAGATTATAAATACCAAAACTACCAAAAAAAACTAGGAAAATTATACAAAATTCATTGGGTTTTGGAGCCAAGAAACCGAAGTAATATTTTTCTTACAATATCTATTTGAAAACCAAAAAAACGATAAATCAATGACCGAATGAAAAATATGATATTTTCTCCGCATATTTTCCATAAACACGACCTCGTTTCTATATTTTCAAACCACCCAACAAGTGATTCTAATTAGGGCATCCTGATATTCTTCTTTATTTGCGAAACTTGTAACGCTTACACCCATGTAATTAATTCACAATTCCCAAGGATCAAGGAAGATCCATATCTAACCATTGAGATATTGCATTCCATGTCTTCATAGTCACTAGACACTCATCGAAAACATGATACACTATTTCCATTTGCATGTTTACATATCGGGCACATAGTTATAGGAAGTAAAGTGATTTGTACACAATAATTTTTATCCGCACACAACATTTTATGCTTGATTGAGTTATACAATATAAACTTTAAAAGCATAAATTGTTGTGTAGTGAGATATTTTGTTGTGTAAAAATCACCTCCCTTATAGAAATGATTACATTGCTACAAGACAAATTAATATGATTTTAAAGCCTATCTAACATTAGCAACCAAAAAAATATATTAATTTTCTGGGAAATAAATTTATTCCAAGATGTTTCCTTTCATTTCGTTTCTTTTAACATTAAAGTTACCATCTTCTAATTTCTCAAGTTCAATTATCCAACTCATCTTCGATCTTGACAATACACAAACACATACAATAAAATATTTAGTTGGTCAATTTCCATGCTATCATGAAGGTCCTACGCAGCTCCCATCTCCACTGAGAATACCAATCTATCTTTATTATTTACTAGCCAATATACAGTAGGGAAACGGATCCTTAACTTGATGTTACCAATACACAATTACCCCCCCCCCCCCCCCCCCCCAATTTAAAAAAAAAAAAAAAAAAAAAAAAAAAAAAAAAAAAAAAAACTACCCCACTAACAACTTTACGATGCAAAGAGGACATCAAAGTAATATTTTTATCATTCATTTGATTTCATGCCCAAAACGTCTTGATCTCGATATTTCACACTGTTTTATGTGGACGATTGAGGGAAAGAAGAATTGCAATTAATGTTTTAAAAGGTTTTTTAGTTGAACCTCTTGATCTAAATCTCGCAGTGGTATGCGTCGACCTTCAAATTGTTTATACTTCGGATAGATCGATCGATCTATTCAAATTTCTTTGTAAATTGATTGTTTTTTTTAATATGCTAAGTGAAATCTAATTATCTTAAGTCCAATCAACTGGTTCAAACGGTTTTGTCACACCGGTTCCATCCAACTTTTGAAAAAACGTCCGATTCAATCCGATTTGACTAGAACTTAGCATAAAACTTGTCGTTGTTGAACTCCTCTCATCCCCCATTTCTAGTTCTAATTGGTTTTTAAAACACTGATTGTAATTTACCTTGCCGAATTAACAGAGTTTGGATCATGAATCAGAGTGTAGATATAATTAACAGAGTCCAATATGGCACTCAATAACAATTATAAAGCATATAAATAAACGGCATGCTATATGAAAGGATAAGTATTTGGGGTCGACCATGTTGTGGTTAGGGTTATATTTGTATTTTGCTTATATAATAGGGTTAAGAGTTAGGGTTTCAAGTGTACTATCATTTTTCAAACTCATAAATAAAAATACTTCTTTTTGCGATGTATGTCACATTGAATGAACCATGTCAAATATTTTGTTTTCGTGTGTGTGATTTCTTTTCTTCAACAATGAAATCAATGTTGCGTTGTTGACATGCATTTGTAGTTCACGCTTTATACCTAATCTAGCATGTCGTAAAAAATAATAACCTACGAATTATATTAATACACAAATTCACAAAATAAACTTACGCTATATTTGGCGTAATAACTGAAAAGCTAGCTGTTCGTTGAAAAGTTTGCTGATAGCTGAAAAGCTAGCTGTTAAATAAAAAGTTAGTTGATAGCTGAAAATCTAGCTGATAAAAAATGACGTTTGGTAAAACTAGCTGAAAATATGAAATAACATAAAATGACATTTAAAAAATGTCTTTTATAATTAATTAATGGTATATTTAGAAATTTTTTTAAAAACTCGTAAAAAACTAATCTAAGTAGTTTTTAAAAAAACTAACGTATAAGCTATTTTTTGGTTTGTCAAACGTAACTTAAAAAATATCGAAAAATAAACTAGCTTTTTAGCTAGGGTACATCAAAGATAACCTTATAACTTTCAAAGTGGGTTGAGATGTTTCGGATTTGTTCATCAAATTGACAAATTCCAAATTTGTTAAATCATGTTCAAAACTCTAATTTGGTGCAACTTCTTTTGGAAAAACATGGTTAGGAACCACTAATCTAATGAATTCAAAGCGTGATACTAGAGAGATTACCGTTTTACTATTGTTTGTAGACTTTCAAAGTCGAAAATGCAAGAATGGATCCGGTTTAAAGAGCTCAGAAAATGTTTTAAGAAACATCTGAAAGCTCCAATATTAGCCCTTAAATTTTAAGATATAATCAATAATAGTAGTCATTTTGATGAATATCCATTTTGTATCATAACAAAGAGTTGATGTCTACTCAACTAATCGGGTCGGATCCGGTCTTCTCTTTCCAACGCTTCAAGAATCAACCAATTTGAATATACTTCTACTCTAATAAAAAAAGTAAAAAAACAACACACTAAATGAAGTAAAAACAACACACAACACACATACCATTTTTCAACCTCAACCACTAACTCCACATCAAACCCTCCCTAAAAAAAACACTTCCCGTTTTAACATTTATCTGTAAATTCTTTTTGATTTGTATGTATATATAAAAACTCACCTCCTATAAATTAAAAAAGGACACATTAAAATTAATTCAAAATCTACAACACAAAAGCCCATTCCTCCATCCACGATGCTTCTGTAATCTTCTCCGGTCAGCTTTCGCCATCCTGACTGGGCTGCTGTTCCACTCTGTCTGCAGTCTGTATGCACACACAAAATATTTCCGGTCAGGTCCGGTCAGGTGAAATAAATTAAAATAAAAAAAATATATTATGATTATTACATGGGAAAGGCAAAGGATCTGGTGCTGGTTGTGCTGCTGTCTGACCGGAGAGAGATGCTGCCCGAAAATGCAATCTGCCCGGAATAATTTATGCGCCCTGAAACGGGACCCGCAACAGAGAAACTTGACTCTCCTTCACCACGTTCATGAACATCATGGAGACCACTGGAAATTACGGTTTTGCCATTGGTTAGATTCAAAGTGTTGTTTCCTTCTATACTTGTGCTTACTTCTTCTTCACCTTCATTTCCTTCTACACAACTCTGCAATTACAAAACTCATATCAGAATCAGATTTGTGTTTGGATGGGTTTACAAGGGCAAATTGGTCATTTAATGAAAACACTAACCTGAGATGGGTGTTGATCTTTATCATCAACACCATTGATGGATTCAAGAAGGGATTTAAGTGATGGAAGTGGTCGATCTTCATCTTTATCTTTATCTTTATCTTTATCTTTATCTTTATCATCCAATAAAACAGAATTCAAATCCATCTGTTGTTCTTGAGGGACATAATTGTCAATGCCTTTTGGAACAGTATCAGATTCTGCACATTTTAACTCTTCAGGGGCAGATTCGGAAATTACATGATTATCATCTTTAGAGATATTCTTTATCTCATTCGGATCTATGGACTCAATATCTTCTTCTTCTTTGGTCCCACAATCTTTTGCATCATCATCATCATCCTCACAATCTTTATCATGATTTGATTCCTCCATGTAATAATCTTCCATGGGTGAAAATATCAGACTTTGATTGATGATGTCATCATGAGGGATTCCATCATCAACACAAATGTCCTTCACATGAAAACCACCATCATTGTAACATACCAACAATTCAGGAAGTTCACATTCCAAATCCAATTCCAATTCCATCACATTTTTATCAGTGTAAACTTCTTGATGATTGTTGTTGTTGACTTTGTCATTCTCTTCATCTGATAAAAATGGATTTGTGTACCTTTTTGGGCTCTCTTTCATGGTGTTCTTCTCCTTCACTTCATCTGTGTCAAAATTACTGTTGTTGGATTCAAATCAAGTAGAACAGGGTAGATAGATTTATGACATAAAAATTATGTAAATAAACCTTACCAGATTTCATTATTAACATTAGTTGGAAAAGTTTGAAGAATTCGCAAGAGCTGTGATGCAAACATTAAAGAGACACCACCTACAAAAAAGAAAAGAGAATCCAATTTATAATGATTGACAGAAGATAACACGTTTTAAAGTCAAACTGAAAACCCTACAAAAAAAGTCAAAAGTATGAAAACCCCATTTCAAAGGAAGTATATGAGGCCAAAAATTCAAACGTTGTAGGGAAAAAGTGACCACAAAATATTTTGTCTATATATAAATTATAAAATAGTAGATGTGGAACCACATCTAGTTGCTCTTATATTCCCAAAAAGAAAGCTTATCTGGTATATGAAATTAAAAAAGTAAACCATGATAAGAGAAATATTGAGCAACTTAACAAGAAGTCAAAATGAAAATGGAATCAAAGTTGTCAGGAACTTGTAACCAAAAACAAAACTTAAATGGATTCAAAAAGAATAAGCAAATGAGAGGTATACAATATGACAATGAGACAAGGGAAAAGACAATACATAAAAGTTAAAAAAGTTATATTAAAGAAAACCCACTAAAACACTTCTCAAGAGTAATTCCACTACGTAGAACAGCTAAAAAAGACTTTTTTATAATCCTCAGGTATGTACTCTTACAATCTTCTTTTTGTCAGTTACCCTGATGGATCAAAAGACCCAATTTTTTATAGGGTTTTTCAGCCAAAAACAAACAGTACTTTATATAGTTTACAATTTCATAACCAGATTTCATAAACCCTAGGGCGAAAGAATTAAGAATTCTGAGCAGAATCAGATCCTAACAGATTTGCACTTTGTAATTGCATATCGACGATGAAAAGTATAAAGGTGTATATATAAAATATAAAAATATATACAATTAACCACAGTACCTGTACACCGAATCAACGAAATTAAACTCTCATCCGTCTCCTTCGCTTAGACAATCGACACTGCAAAACAAAAAATCTCAAACAGATTTAGATTTTTTTTTTTTTTTTTTTCTAATAGATGTGATAATCATATACAGAAACAAAACTAGAATTACACGCTAAACTAAACAAATCAGATAAAGAAAAATTGAATTGAAAATTCGGTAACAGATCCGATATTAGCGGCAAAGATAGATACAGAGAAGCGAAAAGCGAGCAGATAAATAAAATTCATGGCGTTCGATTTGTGTATGTTGCGAGATAGTTGAAAGGAGGGGGAAAACATGAACTCGAGCCACTTACAGAAAATGTCAACTCTCGAAAACCTAATTACTCCCAATCTATTCCTTACAGTGCATTTAATATGTAATACGATTAGACAGATATGGAATCAAAAGAGCACCTCCACTAAAAAAAGTAGCATTAATTACACAGACAAAATGAAAGCTCCAAAAAAAAAACACAGTAGCTTTTCCTTCAGAAACACATTATGTATTTACAATTAGAGATCCTCGATGAACAGATTTCAAAGTCGCTCACCTGAAAACTTTTGAAATTGGTTTAGGCCTTCTTCGCCGGAGATCTCGGTAACATTTTGAAATAACTCAGAGTTCCGTTAATGTTATTCGTGGATGATTAGTAGTTAAATGTTCAAAGACCGGTGGCTGGTGGTTTGTGGCCGGAGAAGAGAGAAAAGCTACCGGAAAAGTGAAGAGAGATGGTGAATCTGTCCAAAACAGAGAGGCAGTCAGATGTGAGGAATGTGAACAACTCATCAACCTGTCAAATTGGGTGGGGAATGGGGATCTCTCTCTCTCTCTCTCTCTCTCTCTCTCTCTCTCTCTTTTTTTTTTCTTTTTCTTAATATATATTTTCTTAATTGAATATTAAATGGATTTTTGTGTGGGACCAGTTGTTTTATTAGATGTGGGACCCACATTCCACTAGCAATCTCATCAATGGTCATATGGGTCGTGGTTTGGTAATTTGGTTGAGGACCATGGTGTGTTTGCTACTTTTTCTAATACCCTAAAGAAAGAGAAACATATATAAGAGTTATTCAATAATTAAAAGGTTACAATACATAGAGGTGCATAAAAATCGAAACTGTTTTGGATCCGGTTTGGCAGAACCGGATTTGAAATTGTTTTTCTAATAACGAAACTGTTTTCTATTCGTCTTTTTTTTGCATAATGACCCATTCGCCCTTCATATCGGCGGGTACCCAGCGGGTAGCGGTTCCGAAAAAATGAAAACCGGAACCGCCTGCTTAAAGCGGTTCCTATTCTAGAACCGACAGTTCCGAGGCGGTTCCGGTTTCAAAAGCGGGTACCCGATTCCAATGTTCATCCCTACTTTTGTTACTTCTCTTTGCAAACACTGATTTTGATGGTGTTGGAGGTTTGTCAACTAATGAAATGGTTTTGTCAAGATCCAAAACTACAAAAAGAAACCTGGAAATTTGACAACATATCGACTTATGTGAAATATCGAATGGTAAAAGGAAAGTTCGGTGGAACAAATGTGGTAGATGGGAATGCAACATTAAAACCATGCAAATTTGGATAGCAAAATGGATTGGTCCGGATCACCGTTAAGCAACAATAACGAATCAATGCACCATCTGCAATTAAAGAACAAAGTGTGGCATATGAAGTGATGGCAATGTTCGTGATTTATGAAAATTTGTCTTTCAACCACTTCGACAACCGCCAATCGACAAAGGTCATCCAAAATAACTCTTCAAGTTGGTTATTGTTATGTAAGTAGTAACGCTCAATGGCATAAATATATAAAGTTTTGTATGGTGATGTCATTTGGTTAGGGGCAAAGTGGGAAATAGTTCATCAATGGAATTTGATATTTAATATGTTTGAATGTGCTTGCGACAAAAGATATATATGGAGTCTAGTTGGGTAGTTATCAAATAGTTAACTGATTGCTCAGAGGTTTTTTTTTTTTTTTTTTTTTTTTTTTTTTTTTAAATAACTACTCTTTTCGTTCGGTAGTTTATTATCCAATAAGTTGTAGTCTTTAACCGATTTGGTTAATGTGCAAGGCGTTATACGGTTATAAATTGAAAAGTTAAGGATGCGTTTGATTGTGGAAAATTGTTTTCATTTTCTACGAAAATGTTTTTAGAAAATAAGGTTGAGTTTTCGTTTTAAATTTTCAATCAAAACGCATTTGGTTGGAACAGATGGAGTTTTCATTTATTTAGAAAATTTTGGAAAACTGTAAAAATCACTTTTCTAATTTACATACAATTGGAAAAACTGAAAATTTTCATTTTCTTAGAAAACTTTGGAAAACTGAACGAACCAAACACGTTTTCAAAATTTCCGTTTTTCTTGAAAAAATTTCTTAGAAAACTAGAGATTTTTCCACAACCAAACGCACCCTAAATGTTTCTTCAAACAATATTAAATATATAAAATCTTTTAACACGACTAAATGTTTCTTCAAACAATATTAAATATATAAAATCTTTTAAACACATTTATCGTGATATTATTTGTGCCACATAATTGAACCCAACCATAAATGTTGGATGGATTAAAGCTTTACTAGAAAATATATGTTATCATTTGGATTTATGCTAGGGTCGTTCACTGGTTGGATAAAACTAAATTGTCCAATTGAATAATTTAGATTGGTATATTTGGTTGATATTCGGATTTTTGAATTGGTTTACAACAATCAAATTATTATTTTGAATTTTGAATTGATTTTGGATTATAAAATAAGAACCGAATAATCCAAAAGAATCAACTAACAATTTATTATTTATTTATTTTTAATATATCTATAATTATTTTTTAATTTTTTAATTTTTTTTAAATAAGCTCAAAAAGTTTCACCTAATAAAAAACATTAATATAAAATATCTCTCAAAATTTTTTTTATCTATTAAATATTAAATTATAATATACATTATTAGTAATTGTTTATAAATTTTAAATCACAGGTAAAGAATTTGTTTTTTACTTCTTTTATAAAAACTGGATTATATTATAATTATACGTTGTTTAAAAATGTTATGGTTTTTAAAAATCGAATAAAGAAAACTGATCCAACCAAATTATAATTGGATCGGATCAGATCGGATTTGATTTTAGTTTTGACTATTCGGATCCATATTTTGAAAATCCAAATCGATTTGGATTTACTTAATTGGTTAGGATCAAACCGATCCATCCAAACGAACACCCCTAGTTTATGCAATGAAAACATCAATTTTGCAATTAAGGCCAAATATAAGTTTACCAAAATATGGTTCAAAAATTTTTTACAAAGACTCAATGAGAAATGATGTGGAATCTTCTAGACATGTAAAAATGGAACAATCAGACAATATAATACTCTAATAAATAAACCTATTAAAAGGGCATGGACTAGTACCCTAGTAGCAAGCTCGGAATGTATATTGGAACCAATTTTAAGCACACACAAGTATATAAGATTTTAAAATTATAGATGTTGTGGTTTGATGGAAAGAAAGGAATCCCAATTTCTAATTATAGCGGTTATGGCTCATGATGTACTAACTGTCAAGCCTTTATGGTAGCTTCAAAATCCATTTTTTCTGTTAGTGGCGAGGTAATCTCTCAAAAAGTAACAAAGCCCACCCTTTATATCAATAGAAGTATGCATTTCCTTGAAAGACTACTTTGATGGTGTAAAGTGGATACAACATATATCGCCACTAGAAGGCAAACATGAGATGGTCAAAAAAACGAAACATAAGAAATAATTAGCTACGATATTGTCGTTATGTAACGCCCGTAGATCCGGGCTAGTCAATTTAGAGACGATAAGCATCAAAAATGGCTTTTTGGTAGAAGATTATTTAGGGTGGATAATCTTAACTAAGTTGTAGTGGTCGTGACAAGGATTCCGGAGATATAAAGAACGTCGAAATCCGAGTTATAACGAAGAAGTTATGACCTGCTGAAGTTTCGCGACAGAACCGACACGACGTTGAATGACGTAAAAAGTGAATTTACGTTAGACTGATATTTATCCTTAGTGATCTAAACGAAAGTCGTAGAGTTCGTTAAACCGAGAGTGTGCATAAAAAGAACGCCCAAATCTGACTTCGTATGAGGAAGTTATGATTTTCCGAAGTTTCGACTTAGCGGTATGCAACCTGAATACTCGATTTGAGATCGAGCATTTTTTTAGCCGAAACAATCTAATCGAGAGTCGAAGATCTCATCGATAGTAGTCTAACTACAAAAAGACAGACGAAACGGAGTTCATATGAAGGAGTTATGAATTTCAAACGGAGTTTTCCTGTCCCGACCTAATAAAAATAATATATAAGTAATATATTTATAATATATTAAAAATATAGTCAAAATTATCCAACAGAGTCTAAAGGAGAGTTGTAGATCAAAATCTCACCTATGCGTCGATATAAAGAACGTTGAAAACGGAGTTCGTAAGCGAAAGTTATGAATTTCTGAAGTTCGGGGCGCGAAACCCCAAATTAGGGGTGTTGAACGGGTAATTTTTTCGGGTTTCGGGTAATTCGGGTTTTTCATGTTAGAAAAATTACCCGTTACCCTACCCAAACTAAATTCGGGTAATTCGGGTTTGGGTAATTCGGGTATCGGGTCGGGTTTGGATAATTCGGGTATTACCCGAAATATATGAATTTTTTTTTTTGAATTTCACCTAAAAATAAATTTAATGAAATAAATACGTCGTGCTTTATTAGTCTTGTTTATATAAACAAACTAGTCATAAACGAAGTTACTCAAACTTTGAACATTAAGATTTTATACTCAATAATACATGAGATATCAAGTATTTTTTTAACGACTTAATCTAATCTAATAAGATGTTAAAAAAACAAATACTTAAAGATCTTAATTTAAAAGTTTAAAATGTTTAAGATAAATGTAGTCATAAGTTTTGTCATGTTCTAAAGTTTCGTCAAAATAATAAGTTTGTTAGTTGTAATAAAAACTATAATATAGAAAACAGTTAAGTTTTAAAGAACGTGATGATATATAAAAAATTACTTTTAATATTGTTAGTGTCGTATTGTCATAATAAATATATTTATGTTTTATAATAATGATATTAGTTTAAGTGTGATCAAATACCTACTATATAGTACAAGCTCTACAAAAAAAATGAATTTTTAAAATAATTTGGGTAATTCGGGTATACCCGAAACCCAAAAAATGTACCCTTTACCCGACCCGAAAAAAATCGGGTAACCCGATTACCCGGAAAATTTACCCGATACCCGATTTACCCGACCCGATTTACCCGATACCCGAAAAAATCGGGCGGGTAATTCGGGTATCGGGTATTTTCGACAGGGCTACCCCAAAACAGTCAGATACCACGACGTGGCAAGTCTTCTGACACCTCCTGGAGTCCCCCAGATGCAATTTGCGATGATGCATGCAGTGACGACCAAGCCCCACGACGTGGAAAAGGTGTCACGACGTGGCAAGGGCAAAATTTTCCCTATAAATAGATTTGAAGGGCCAGCCGATTATGGTTGCTCCATCCCTTCTCTCCCACTTCCGATACACCCTCTAAGCCTTATTTTAACCCCCCGAAGCCCCGATATCATCCCAAGACCCGAAGCAAGTCCCGAAGTTCGAAGATCCCGAGAAGAAAAGAGTTTCCGAGCCGAAGCTCTGCCCGCGAGAAACCCGGTGTGTGAAGTGATCCCGGTTTCACTGAAGAATACTACCATTGCAAGTTGTAGTGTTGTCCGATCATCTTCTGATCATGTGAGTGTGTGGTTACT